GAATTTTGACAGCTAAGCATAAAAATCAAGATCCACGACTAAATATTCACATGCAATAACAACAAAGAGATCTAAAAAAATGTTTACAGTGAGCAACTCAGCCATGCATATAGTGTACAGTAATTAAGAGAATGCCCAGGTGACACTAGCAGTAACATAACATGAAACAGAGAGGAGATAAGGGTGAAGGGAATAACTGTGGGTCTTAATCATACATATGTCCACAGTCTTAAGCCGAGTTCACCAACTAATGTTTCTATAAGGAATGTAAAGAATCTAATGCGGTCCCGTACACTGCCTTATGCTATCTCACCCTAATGCTATTCATTACCCTAACCAATGAGTTACTTTATGCATGGTCTTTAGATATGAATAGAATTTGTCACTAAGATAAATATTTACCGTCTGTATAAGTAGAACGTAAATACTCTTAAGTGTCCCTGTTAACTGAGTGTGACCTGTACTATCCCCAGCTAGTATTATAAACTGTGTTGACAAGTTGATGATATGAACAAATGAATGGTTTATGGTGGTGGGGGAACACAGACAGGAGATGGAGGGTTTAATCTGGGGCATTTCGACACAAAGTCTTGCTATTGTGAGAGCCAGGCTTCATGACAACATGTTACAGAATAAAACACCAGCTCCAGCCTAAATCTTTCCACTATCATAATTCCCTCATTTGTTAATTATGTATAAATAACACATCAACAAGTATATACTGTGTGTGTGTGTGTGTGTGTGTGTGTGTGTGTGTGTGTGTGTGTGTGTGTGTGTGTGTGTGTGTGTGTGTGTGTGTGTGTGTGTGTGTGTGTGTGTGACAGTATTCCTATTTGTTCACTCAGCATTGCCCCATCATTTCTATACTCATTCAGCATAACTCTCCCCATTTTTGAGGTGTCCATACCCCTTAACCCAAATCCCATGAGAGTGGGAGAAGGAGAGAGTACAGTACATTATGACACACCTTCCTCATTACTCTGTGTTAATCCCTAGTGTTACATGGCAAACTTGATGTGTGTTGTAAGCTGACCTTCTTGCACTAATGTTTAAGAGCTTTCTGTCCGTCACTACACCTGTCCTTGCACCTAGTATCAATCACATCCCCTCCATTGACTCTACAGCCATGCGGAAGTTCTGATATTCCGATTAGTAAACAATAGAATAATAACGATAAACTGAGCTGAAAAATACATATCAAAATTCGGATTTCTAGACATTGAGATGATGGGGATGGGTGTGGGGGGGTTAAATAGGATCTGTCTTAGAGAGATACTAGGAACAATAATGACAATGAACTACAGGATAGAAGAAATCGTCCATTATTACGAGGAAGCAGAGCCCATGGGGAGGTAAGCCAAATTATCATACATCAAAACAACAAGTAACGGATCAAGCACGGAGGAGAGAAATGGAGTATAAATGAGATAGAGTAGGAGTAGTCACTAACATGGAGAGGCATGGTTGTGGAGGGAGGGTGTGGAGGGTTAGGGGAAGGGAGGTAAGGCTGGAGGAGGAGGAGGGCACAGCTACAGCAGGAGGGAGGGAGGGAAGGGAAGTCTGGAGGGCAAGGATAGTAAGGTAGGAGGGCAAGCCAGGAGGGAAAAGAGGGAGAGGTTGGAAGGGGAGGGAGATATTGGAGAGGAAGGGGAAGGGTAAGGAAGAGGGCAAGGGTAGAGGAGGAGGAGGAGGAGGAAGAGGACAAGGGTAAAGGAGGAAGAAGAGGATGCCAAGAGTAAAGGAGGAGGGAGAGGAGGGCAAGGGTAGAGGAGGAGGAAAAGGAGGGCAAGGGTAGAGGAGGAGGAAGAGGAGGGCAAGGTTAGAGGAGAAGGAAGAGGACAAGGGTAGAGGAGGATGGAAGAGGAGGGCAAGGGTAGAGGAGGAGGAAGAGTCAGGAGTAGGGCGAGTAGTGTGTGCCAAGTGTAATAAGACTGCAATGTAAAGCAGGGAAAGCCAAGTGGCGTAGGGAGTGCCGAGTGGAGTAAGGAAAACCAGGGTGGAGTGCCAAGTGGAGTAAGGAGTGCCAAGTGGAGTAAGGAGTGCCAAGTGGAGTAAGGAGTGCCAAGTGGAGTAAGGAGTGCCGAGTGGAGTAAGGAAAACCAGGGTGAAGTGCCAACCGGAGTAAGGAAAACCAGGGTGAAGTGCCAACTGGAGTAAGGAGTGCCAAGTGGAGTAGACAATGCCCTCAAAAAGTGCACAAAGTTGCCAAGACAACGTTAGAGCATAAGAAAACAACCCAGTAATTGGCAGACGTCTTGGCAAGTTGTGAAGTCTTATAGGTCAAGGACGTCAACAGATACAAGTTGTGAGGTCTTATAGGTCAAGGACGTCAACAGATACAAGTTGTGAGGTCTTATAGGTCAAGGACGTCAACAGATACAAGTTGTGAGGTCTTATAGGTCAGGACGTCAACAGACTTATAGGTCAAGGACGTCAACAGATACAAGTTGTGAGGTCTTATAGGTCAAGGACGTCAACAGATACAAGTTGTGAGGACGTCAACAGATACAAGTTGTGATAGGTCAAGGACGTCAACAGATACAAGTTGTGAGGTCTTATAGGTCATCAACAGATACAAGTTGTGAGGTCTTATAGGTCAAGGACGTCAACAGATACAAGTTGTGAGGTCTTATAGGTCAAGGACGTCAACAGATACAAGTTGTGTGGTCTTATAGGTCAAGGACGTCAACAGATACAAGTTGTGAGGTCTTATAGGTCAAGGACGTCAACAGATACAAGTTGTGTGGTCTTATAGGTCAAGGACGTCAACAGATACAAGTTGTGAGGTCTTATAGGTCAAGGACGTCAACAGATACAAGTTGTGTGGTCTTATAGGTCAAGGACGTCAACAGATACAAGTTGTGAGGTCTTATAGGTCAAGGACATCAACAGATACAAGTTGTGAGGTCTTATAGGTCAAGGACGTCAATAGGTCAAGGACGTCAACAGATACAAGTTGTGAGGTCTTATAGGTCAAGGACGTCAACAGATACAAGTTGTGAGGTCTTATAGGTCAAGGACGTCAACAGATACAAGTTGTGAGGTCTTATAGGTCAAGGACATCAACAGATACAAGTTGTGAGGTCTTATAGGTCAAGGACGTCAACAGATACAAGTTGTGTGGTCTTATAGGTCAAGGACGTCAACAGATACAAGTTGTGTGGTCTTATAGGTCAAGGACGTCAACAGATACAAGTTGTGAGGTCTTATAGGTCATGGACGTCAACAGATACAAGTTGTGTGGTCTTATAGGTCAAGGACGTCAACAGATACAAGTTGTGAGGTCTTATAGGTCAAGGACGTCAACAGATACAAGTTGTGTGGTCTTATAGGTCAAGGACGTCAACAGATACAAGTTGTGAGGTCTTATAGGTCAAGGACATCAACAGATACAAGTTGTGAGGTCTTATAGGTCAAGGACGTCAACAGATACAAGTTGTGAGGTCTTATAGGTCAAGGACATCAACAGATACAAGTTGTGAGGTCTTATAGGTCAAGGACGTCAACAGATACAAGTTGTGAGGTCTTATAGGTCAAGGACGTCAACAGATACAAGTTGTGAGGTCTTATAGGTCAAGGACATCAACAGATACAAGTTGTGTGGTCTTATAGGTCAAGGACGTCAAGGTCAGATACAAGTTGTGTGGTCAAGTTATCTTATAGGTCAAGGTCACGTCAACAGTTGTCTTATAGTCAAGGACGTCAACAGATACAAGTGTGAGGTCTTATAGGTCAAGGACGTCAACAGATGTTGGTGGTCTTATAGTTGAGTCTTATAGGTCTCAGGACGATAGGACGTCAACAGATACAAGTTGTGTGGTCTTATAGGTCAAGGACGTCAGCAGATACAAGTTGTGAGGTCTTATAGGTCAAGGACGTCAACAGATACAAGTTGTGAGGTCTTATAGGTCAAGGACGTCAACAGATACAAGTTGTGTGGTCTTATAGGTCAAGGACGTCAACAGATACAAGTTGTGAGGTCTTATAGGTCAAGGACGTCAACAGATACAAGTTGTGTGGTCTTATAGGTCAAGGACGTCAACAGATACAAGTTGTGAGGTCTTATAGGTCAAGGACATCAACAGATACAAGTTGTGTGGTCTTATAGGTCAAGGACGTCAACAGATACAAGTTGTGAGGTCTTATAGAAGGACGTCAACAGATACAAGTTGTGTGAGGTCTTATAGGTCAAGGACGTCAACAGATACAAGTTGTGTGGTCTTATAGGTCAAGGACGTCAACAGATACAAGTTGTGAGGTCTTATAGGTCAAGGACATCAACAGATACAAGTTGTGTGGTCTTATAGGTCAAGGACGTCAACAGATACAAGTTGTGAGGTCTTATAGGTCAAGGACGTCAACAGATACAAGTTGTGAGGTCTTATAGGTCAAGGACGTCAACAGATACAAGTTGTGTGGTCTTATAGGTCAAGGACGTCAACAGATACAAGTTGTGTGGTCTTATAGGTCAAGGACGTCAACAGATACAAGCTAGGATGAGAACGAGATCGACCCCAGTGAGAAAGTTGGGTGCCAGGGAAAGAAAGAAGCATTGAGAGGACAGCAATTGTGCGATGGTTCTTAAGGGAAGGGATATGGAGGTGGGTAGGTGAGGTAGGTAGGTAGGTAGGTGAGGGAGGGAGGGAGGGAGGGAGGGAGGGAGGAAGGTGGAGGGAGAGAAAGAGGAGGTGGGAGGGAGAGAAAGGGGAGGTGGGAGGGAGATAGGAGGGAGGGAAGAAGAGAAGAGAGAGAATGGATCGGGAAACAACAGAAAATGGAACATAGATGAATCGGATCTTTTGGGACTGTCTCGGGTCCTCCCATGAGAACAACTCTAAGAGATGAAGGAAATGTTGAGGTGGTTAAGACTCTTGGGCCAGTCTGAGGAGGAGGACATGGATGTGGAGGAAGAAGAGGACATGAAGTAGGAGGACATGGAAGAAGAGGAGGAGGAGGAAGAAGAGGAGGAGGAAGAAGAGGAGGAGGAGGAAGAAGAGGAGGATATGGAAGAGGAGAAGGAGGAGGAGAGGCACAACATAACTAAACTCCAGCCCTACAACTTACCTGTAGTACTTCGGGAAGATCCTGTAACCAATAACAAAGCAAAAATACCAGATGAGATAATGAATGGGGGAGAGTAAAGACAGAGAGAGAGAGAGAAAGAAGAGGTATACTGTATAGATAAACAAACAATGCCGGGGGGGAATACTGGGTGTACTAAAGGAAGGTTATTAAAGGGGGGGGGAACAGGGTAAGATAATGTATGATGAAGTCAAGAGGAGTAAATAAAAGAGAAAAAATAACCTAATAATGACTAAATACTATAATGAAGCTGATGTATAAGTAGCAGTAAGACTAAGATTTACCTACAGTACTAAAATACAGAAAAAACAACAACAACAGAATTTGATAACCATTTGAAAGATACCAAAGACATAAAAATAAATTCATCAATTAAATCAGCAGGTACATTTACTTGAAGATAATTACACTGGATACTAGCACATATGTCAATGAATGAAGTTAGTATTTAACCTGAGTATCTAAATAAAGCAACAAGGCTAAAAGATGGTGTTATGATAGTTCAAATCTGTTCTAATAAGCTCAACAGAATGGTGAATACTGCAACAAATATCTCCAGCTTACAAAATTCATGAATCTGTATTTAATGTTGATATTTTTATTTTGTATTCCAATGTTACATAATTAATTTTGATTCTGGCAAAGTCTGTATCATATTGGGTTAGGTTGTCACGTCTCGGGCTGCCATTAGAATGAAGGTTTAAGACTACAAGGGAGGAATTATTTCTGAACGTATCATCACTAAGTAGCCTATTACCAACATGTGGAAACTGTTGCATGGTGAAAATTATGAAGTTAACCCCTTGAGTACAGTGAATCAATTCACTCATAAGGATATCTTAACCCCTTCAAAACTATGACTTAATCCCTTGAGTACGAAGATCTAGCCCCTTGAGTCCAATGTCTTAGCCTTTCCAATACAGTACAATTATATATTCTCTTGAGTACGTTAACAGTGTACAGAAAAATCTCCCTCTAATGAACCTCACTTTCCGTATACTAGTCCGTTAGATTGAGGTTTAACATCTAATGGACTGTCGATGTAAAGGACTTTTAACTCCATATAGTTCATTAAATGGGGGTTTTACATCTAACAGACTCTCGATATAAAGGACTCTCCTCTCCACATATTCCGTTAAATAAAACTTTCATTGTACCGAAGGATTAAGTCATTATATATATATATATATATATATATATATATATATATATATATATATATATATATATATATATATATATATATATATATATATATATATATATATATATATATATATATATATATATATCTATATCTATATATATATATATATATATATATATATATATATATATATATATATATATATATATATATATATATATATATACACAGTATATCAGAGAGTTAAAGTGTTTTATATACCAAATCAAACAAAGACATGTGAGCTGTATTTTTCCACTCATAATTTACAGTGAACCTGTGATAATACCATAAACCTGCTTGTACTGTATAACTAAGAAGCAGGGTGATAATTTTTGCCTAAGGAACAACTTTTCAACCAATAAGATAACGTTATCACTCACTATTAGTCTAAAAGCAGAGAGGGGAATGTGCACTTAGTCATGGGATAAACTTTACAGCGACAGGAATGGTTAGGGATCGTCTTTCTCCACCTGATCGGAGACTTGCAACTTGTAAGCCTCATAATAAACTTTTCCTTTCTATATCTAATTCAAATATAAACTGTCTAATAAAATAGGACCTAAGAAACTGAAGAAAAATTGATTGACACAGGAAGAATGGGTAAAGCAAGGATTGGGACACCTACCAGCATTAAACATAAGTAGGACATATAAATAAAATAAATTCAATACACTGTATTATACAATTATGTCCTTAATGAAAGAACCTCCCATGCTAAATATAATATATAAATAGTAAAAAATAATTATCTGATATGTACAGTATACACAATGTGTTATGAAGAACCCAAAATACCAAAATAGATCCTGCATAATAAAAGCAAAAATATTATTTACACCATTTCCCACAATTAGTGAGGTGGTACCCCAAAGCACAGAGGGTTAGCTTAGCCCAGGGTGTTGATGGCTTGATTCAAGGCATATTATAAATGTCCAACCGGCCCTACACGTCCACAGGATTGACCCCGTGTTGAATGAGTACAGAGGCCAGAGTACTGTTAACCATACTATGGATTATCTTCAATAATCAACCTGAACTTCAGCCAACTAGAGTAACCCAACTGCCCTAATTATTCCACTGACAGTTAAAGGTTCACAAGATAACTAAATTGTCAATCTCTGGTGACCTCAGCTTGGTTATAATTAACCCCTGGTCAATGAAGTGTGTACTGTATGCTAACCAGAGATGACCTTCCATTACCCCAGCAAAGTTTCACAATGTGTTTCACATAAGGTGCTCTACAGTAACGTTAAATACATTAGTAGTTGATCCAGTAATGCACAAAATAGCTAATATCAAGAGTTCAATAATAAATAAAAGCATTTCCTGAAGCACAATGCAACGATATTTCAAATGTTCCATATACTGAGATGAAGGTATTTACTGTAAGTCATGTCAAGTGTTTCAAAATGCTCTTACTTCTAAATGTTATACACTATTTACATTTATTGTTAGTTTATTCACTAAAATATGTAAAATTTAATTGTTTTTATATACATCTTAAGTTAGTGTTGTTATTGTGCCCCATGTGACTTAGGGTCCCATATTAACCATGCTTATATACTTATTAATATCTTATATATGTTCTTTGGTTAATTAACTATACACTGTACAGTACTTATATACATCTTATATATGTTTATTGTTGATGACAGAATATATGAAGTGTTTTATTGTACGTTCGTTCCAAAAAGTATCTTTACGAATCTGTGCCAGACAATAAGACACAACAGATGAAGGATTTTGACAACCCTACCAAGACAACAGGAGTCACAGTGTTCATTCTGGAATTCATCGATCACCTCTGTAAAGATACTTTCTGGGGCGAGTGTACATAACTGATTATAATGTACAGTAAACCTCTTGTGATAGTGTTTGCATATTTATTATAATCTTTTACAAAATACCAACTAATGGCCAGCTGACCTTGGACTAGTCTGGTGCTGTGGGTAATGAGACTGTTGACATTGTTGTTGTTGCTGCAGCTGTCCTTCACGGTACTGTAAGAGACACTCTTCTCGGAATACAGCAGCGTCCTGCCCACGGATGTACAGGATACTGAAAGGAAGAAGATGGAGAAATTAGCAAAAATCACATCCGAGGAGGACTCTGGGGGCGGGGAGGGGGTACACGTTCCCTGGTTAGTGTCGAAAAAAAAATTTTAAATCACATTTCAATTCATATATGACTTTATCAGTAACTCAATATCAAATCAGACAAGTGACTTTCAAATGACAAACAAAAGTGTAGTATTACATGATGGAATGATGAAGAAGTCTCTGCCAATGACTACAAAATGAAAGCTCTGGTAATACTGAGTGTTCTTTGTACAGTCTTATACAGTATATTGTTCTTTCACTAAACTCTAAGAGAAGAAAAATGTTACAATTACACTATACAGGTTCAGTGAGTCAAGTTTGTGTTCAATGAAATGACAATATTAATTTTTTGGAGACGTCCTTTAATGAATAACATTATCCCTTTAACAGCGGCCAACATCCATTAATGCTGACGTAGGGGACTGCAGCCAACGTCAATAATCACGCTCATTTCTTGCCAAGACACATTACCCAAATCTTCCATTGCCACAGTCTAAGGGTTAATTAAAAGAGGTTTTCTTCTGGCTGTAAATTTAGGGAAAATAAAGAAACACCAAGAATATTCAACTTTACCAAAATTCCTTAACAACAGGTGAAAAGAACCCATCAAACTTAACCTAACCTAAACTACCTTTGATAAATTTGCTGATAGTTAATATTTGGTTGGGTTGGGGTAATTGTTTTTTGTCTTTCTCACCATTAAAAGTTTACAAGGTATTTAACCAAGCGAATATTTTGAGAGGAAAAGCGAGACGGGCATTTGTGAGGTGCTGCGACACTCCCACCCACCTTCCTGTACATGTTTAACCAGTGTACTCAGTGTACCAGGATTAATGACCTACGAGTATGTCAGGTGAAGGTAATTTCTATATCAAGCTGCCAATCCTCTAGTCACTAGAGGATTGGCAGCTTGATATAGACTAGAGTCTAGTCAGTCAGTGTCAAGCTGTCAACATTTCACAGGAACTGCCAAGCTGAGAGGCTGTAGAAGTTATAACCCCACATGAAAACTATTACCACCACTGTCACTATTTTTAAATGGATAAAAGTAACTTGTGAGTTGATACTGTACACAAAATACATTCGACTTCTTTTTATTAGTTTGACTTTTCCCATAAAATGATCCAGGCAAGTAAATTTTCTCTACAAATTTGTCACACCCATTAAAAAAAAAAGTAGTGGATATATACTGTAGGTATGGCAGCCATATGGACAGAATGTGTCCATAACCCCTCAGGTACTCTTGGCCATGGTCGGAAATCTCACCCCCTCCCAGTCTTTCAATGCAGGTTGTGGTGGTAACAGGAATGGCATTTTCATTTTAGTAAACACTGGGTAGAGTAATCTAGACCCAAATTGCACCCTTAAGAGATGCACCTGCCAACCCATGGGGCTAGTGGGAGGAACTTTGCCATAGATAGATTGATAGATAGTTGGCTATTATTTTAGTTTTGATCATCCAGGGATTCTTCGAGGTTCAGGAAGGGCGAAGCTCCCAGGTTAGGTTAGATATAGGGCCTGGGTTCCGTGGTTAGGTTAGGTTCTGTCAAAAATATATAGCTTGGATATCTAAATAGAGGGATGAACGAAACTAAAATTGGTTAATATTCGTCCATTGGCCGTAAGCAAGTTCCAGCTACGTTTACCCGAGGTTGTACTCCTCACTTAAGAGTCAGTTGTCTTCTCCTTACCTCCTCCTCCTTGTGGGTTAGGTTAGGTTGGTATGAGAATAGGTTTTTTGGGTATTATTGCGTTTACACACCGTTCATTCCCACCACTAATCTATTATCATATTCGAATAAGACGTCTAATTATAAGATCATTTTCATCTATTACATTACCGGCTCAAATGAATAATAACGAAGACAGCGTATCCAAAATTTTCTATATTTTCTTCCATTAATATTTCGCCATTATCGCCTGCCTCTCCTCCCACACTGCTGTCTCCTTCATAAATCATCACGCTCATGCGTTCCTGTACACGTCACGCGGCCAATCAAAAGCGTTTTTGTTTTTGCAACAAATTCAAATGATTTTGGGTTTAATTCGCGGTATATTTGGCCCAATCAAATTCGAGTTTTATTTTGGGTCTCATATTTCGAAATTCAAGTTCAGTTCCGACTATGGAAGTCTGCGATGGGTGTCACTTAAATTATATGGAGCTGATTGCAAGTTTTTGGAAAAAACGAAAAACTATAAAAAAATTTTTGATCGCATGGTGTTCTTCCAACCTCAGTAAAGTGTACTATGAGCAAGACTGAATGTAAATATCGCAAAGACCAACATATGTGGCGTTGTGTAAGAATCCCAGAATCCAACGACTAACAAGAACCAGGCCAATAAGGTAAGAAATAGGTGATTCCATCATATGGTGAGAGTCAGTTAGGTTAGGCTAGGTTTGGTTTTTCTAGTGTTTTTTGGTGTATTTTGCCATGATTTTTTTCGTAAAACATCCAACGAAAAAAAATCTATAAAAAAACCCGGCTAATTTCCGCCAGAACTGAAGGTCATATTCGGTCTAAACTCACACAAATACAATAGAAAAATATATTTTTGACTTTCTAACAGAACGGTGTGACAGTGCAAATTTACCGGGTTTTTTTTCTCACATTTGATCTCCATTTTTTGTGCAAATTAGCTGTTTCTATTAAAAAAAAAATTTTTTTCATTTTTTTTGCAAAGATCGCTAATTTGCAAAAGAATTGAAGGTCAGATCCGAGTAAAACACACCGAAAAATATATATATATATATTCTCGTACCAAAATTTGAGGACAGCCATTGGACGAATATTAACCAGAAAATTTTACCGATAGTTGAGTAGATAAATTAAAATCATCATACAAGTTTACAAACTGGTCAAGAGTGTAACAAACAAAACAGTGAAGGTGAAATTCGGCCAATCTTAAAACACACACAAAAAATTGGGTTATTCTCATATTAACTATATATTACATCACATAAGAGCATAAAGAACATAATATAACATACTTACACCATTAAAATATTTAGCCAGTAACGTATTACCAGCGTAAATATGCAAAATATAAATACGATCGTTGAAGACTAACGACGCCATATTCCTTCACACTCACGTTTCGCACATTCAATTCCTATCATATTTTCATTACCTTTGCTGGACATTCAAATACATTTTCAAGACACTTTCTGGATATTAAGTATATACAGTATATTATTTTTACTCTGGATTCCCCCAAAAATTACATGGATTTGTTTTTATTTAACTACTGTAATGTATTCGTCAACGTTTAGACGTGCACAAAAAAAATCACTTTTTTTTGACATCCAAAAACTTTTCGTGATTTTTCCTGACTAAGGAAATTTCAATGACTAAATTACCATCCATGATGTTAATTTATACCTTCAAACAAACAGCTTAAAATAATACCAATGTTCACTATTTCGCCATCTTTAAATAAACCAACGAAATTAACTAAAAAGAAGAAAAAAAGGTTTATTAAATGCTTAGGAGTATAATTTCAATTCAATCTACCATAGAGTGTCAAATGTCAAAATCTAAATGTCTAGCACTATATTTGATTTACTTACGAAATAACACGCACATAGAGAATTAGGTTAGGCATTTACGTGGTTTATGAAGAAAGTTCATTCAACTTTACACAAGAGTGAAGGGTGAAGCCTAGAAGGTATTGTGTGGGACTTCCGCCATCACTAAACTCCCCGCCACTACCACTACAGTACACCTCCACCACCACTACACCCTCTCCACCAGCCACTACATCCTCTCCACCAGCCACTACGTCATCTCCACCAGCCACTACATCCTCTCCACCAGCCACTACAGTACACCTCCACCACCACTACATCCTCTCCACCAGCCACTACGTCATCTCCACCAGCCACTACATCCTCTCCACCAGCCACTACACCCTCTCCACCAGCCACTACATCCTCTCCACCACTTAAGGTACTGTATGTTTGGTATAACGGACGTGTGTGTGTACTGCCATCTAACACAAATGGGGCTGATTTGAGGTGGGGGTTATGTGAAGTAAATATAGTCAGGATAATTTTATTTAAAGTTAGATGATTATATTCCAGGTTTTTTTGTTGACAGAAGACCCACTCGATGATTATATTCCAGGTTATGATGACAGAAAATCAGCGGGGTGGTTTCAAGTGAGTTTATATGACACAGGAAAACCAGTGTGTGGCAGAGAGTTGCACACAGCGGTAGTACGGGGCATGAATGTAATTTAGAAGACAAACGTTCTGGGCAATGGAATTTGAACAGAAAAGTCCTGGTCCCTTGCGGATGCCATTGTGGGTCGATTGAGGGCGTGGGTTGGTGGCACAATTGGTTTTAGCCCGGTAGAGTATAGACCAACACCACACCCAGCCCACAGTACCCCAACACCACACCCAGCCCACAGTACCCGACACCACACCCAGCCCACAGTACCCCAACACCACACCCAGCCCACAGCACCAACACCACACACAGCCCACAGTACCCCAACACCACACCCAGCCCACAGTACCCCAACACCACACCCAGCCCACAGTACCCAACACCACACCCAGCCCACAGTATCCCCAACACCACACAGCCCACAGTACCCCAACACCACACCCAGCCCACAGTACCCCCAACACCACACCCAGCCCACAGTACCCCAACACCACACCCAGCCCACAGTACCCCCAACACCACATCTTCCTTGCGTTACAGAATATCTTAATCATTGTGGTATGTATTCAAAGCATTTCTTAGCTGTAGTTTCCTCGATCTTACAGTAGTGAATGTGATACTGTATTGCTTTATGACACCATGTTTATATTTAGCAATCAGGAATATTTAGCTGATCACCTGAAGATTAGCCCTCCTAGCTTATATCACCTGAAGATTAGCCCTCCTAGCTTATATCACCTGAATATTAGCCCTCCAAGCTTATATCACCTGAAGATTAGCCCTCCTA